AACTAGGTAACGCGTGCGCAATTTTAAAAAATAGTGCGTCGTTCGCGAGTTACGAAAATACCGATCAGCTGTTTCGTAACCGTGAAAATAATTAGCCTTTCGGCCCCGACAGAACTGTGACGCTGGACCAGGCACGCGTCAATATTCGACGGACGTCTTCACCCGTCATCGGTGCATTACAATGTCGTGACCGTCCTCCATTCGGTTATTGATACCGACTCTCGTAACGTATTCGACTTTATCTCGGTGGTAACAAAGCTCAATATCGCGGTAACGGGTTTGGGGGAACTCATTTCTTATACGATATCGTTGCTGGCTTGTCTTTCAGAGAAGTCTAATTAAGTTTTTTCATCGGGACTCATTCTTGATTGACAGATGGCGCTAGCGGCACTCCAAGATGGAAATGTTACTTTCTATACATTTATCAATCATTTCGTAGTAATTGTTCTAATATAAAAGCTATCAATACTCTTCAATGTAAATTAACTATTCTATGAATTGACTAAAAAACAACTATTAGGTAATGCGACAAGTTATTAACATTGACAACTAATAACGTAGTTTCATAAATATAAGAAATTACAAAATATGAGCATGAAAAAAAAAAAATTGACACGTTTTAGTATTACTTTCGTATCTAATATGCATCATAATTATTAACTTTCTTTAACGTCGTTATAAGCTGTTTTACTATTACGAACAAATGGAAAAGTAATTTATTGTCTATGGTAAGAAAACGCGCGAACGCTTTTGACGCGATCGCAATTGGCGTCTACGAGGAAGCACGTGGGATCTATCAACATCGCAACAGCGATCACGAAATCCGCCATCAATCATTAGACATCAGAAAGGATTAAAATCTACGTTGCACCTTCCGAAGTTCGAGTACCCTTGTTTTTCTCTAACCCGTAAATACTGAGGGGCGTAAGTACGGCCCGGGGGCGGTAAATATTACAGAGGGGGTTGGGGTGAGTACCCCCGCCTTTGGAGGGGGGCACTATCCCTTATCGCGAGCGTTACCCTCGCTCGCGGCCGCTAGACTGCCGAAATGTGGGGCAAATCGATTCCTCTGCCCCATTTTTGTGCATCTGGACCGTCATCGATTTGCCACGACCGACGGAACAGTCGATGGAATGTTTCCTCTCAAAAATTCGGACGACATTACGAATTGTTTATAATTATATCACAAAATAGCCCGTGTAAGTATAGTTTACCTTAATAATTTTGTATTTATTTTGTATTTATAATACATACTGTATTCTGATTTCATTTTCGGCGCACATTACAACGTATTTTCAATATCATCTAAAAGCATCATATTTTTATATATTTATATTTCTATACGACATTAATAAGGCAGAAGTCTCCTTTTTGCGTTGCTTACCTAACTCGCATATTTAATTACATACTGAACAAAATATTAATTTTTCTTCTCTTCCTATCGAAGTTAATTTGCGCCTTTATTACTATTAATTGTACGTAATAGCGAAAGTAAAAACTTTGAACGAGTTGAATGACTAAAAAAAACACCTTATCTACTCATAGTTTACAACCAAATAAAAATTCAAGCCAGCGACAATTCATAAAAGCAACAAAGTTATTTAACAGTGGCAATGATTACTATTTTAAAGTGTTCGACGTGGAAATGAAATAATTTTATACGTGTCGTAAATTACTTTTAATCGAAGGGCGCTTGCCCAGTCGGCGTGCAGCGATCAAAAATGCGAAAATGGAGGCTTATTTGCACCAAGCATTACTATGTAGCCTCTGTTTGGCCTTATACTTTAGTAGATATAATGAATATAAGATTGCTCACATTTTTCCGTACCTAACATAAATCACAGAAATAATAAATTGACATTATAGTTGTTTGTCACATTGATGTCCCATTAAAATGTATGTATTACCATATATAAAACTAACACCCATTAATCACGAATGCAAACATTAAAAAAGGTACAAGGATAAAATTAAATGTTGTACAATTATTAGAATCTATAAGCTTCTTTACATCATCCGATAAAAACAAAATTAAATAAAATCAAAGTAAATCGCAGTCAATAAATAAACCTATTGATATGTAGTAAAAAATAGTTACGGGATAATTTTCAATATAAGAGTCTAAACGTGTCTAAACGTCTAAGCCGTTTACATATTGCTTCTACGAAACTATCCATCACCAAAAGTAGAGCATATAGATACTAAAACTACACTGTCTATAAATAAAAATATACGCAATGAAATAAAATAAATGTACTGAATTATTTAATAAAGGGTAAAGCAGCTTTGACCATAGTTTTTGGTCCTCGTCGAATTCTACTTTGTATATTTTATTATCTCAAGTTTTGTTCTTGGTATATAATGCTGGTAATACCATCAGAATGAGATATAAATTAAGAAAAATATTTATTATCTTTGTTATTATAACAACCTTATACATGTAATGTTATTTTATTTCTGTGATAATCCCAAATCCTTATTTACGGCCATCTAATAACACGAAAACAAACTAATCACATGGTCTACAATTAATAATTTGATTAAAAAAAGTAAAACAAATAGAGATCAATAGATACCGAACTGCAATCATCAAAGTGAGGATGAAGATTTCAAAAACTAACCGAAGCGAATACATTATTGTAAATTGTATACAGAGCGATGTAGGTGATTTAATGAACGACGAGCGAACACAACACTATTAAAATTGCGATTAATGAAACTATAAAAAACGGTCGTTGATCAGTGACGGACTTCCGCATAAACGCTCGACATCCATAACAGTTACATCGCAACGAAAATATCCTAGAAATTCGCAACATTATTTGACTATTTTTAATCAACGAGTATAATTGCCGGCCGATCAAATGTTAAACACAATGCATATGTTTAATTCAGATGTGTAGCACATATAAATCAATTAAGGTTACATAACATATAAAACAACAAGTTTCGACTATTCGTTAAATAGTTGCATCGTAAAGAAAACCACCGGAATAAAAAAAAAGTCCTTAAAACCAATTAAATGTTCGTTGCGTACACTGAGCGGGCTGTAAATTACAATGATCACGAAACATTGTCGGATCCGACATCTTCTGTGAAAATAGAGGAGGCGAACTGCAAGTCGTAAAATTTATTTTACCATCACAATTTGCAACTCCGGAGTACGTTTGATAGTTGGCGAGTTTTATATCGAACTCTTTTTGGGCCGTTGCGAATGTTTTATTGGGTTTTATTACGGACCGTATATCAGATTTAACGAGGGCCCGGTCGCGGTTTAAGTAGCCCTTATCTCGTTCCGTTGCTTTGTTGTGAGCGTTGCGAGTTTGCAAATTAAAGTATAACCTTATGGTGTAGTTCGCTCGGCCGCTGACTGTAGAAACTTGGCGCCGCGCACTAAGCTGAAAGTTTGCCTAATAGATTCGGACACCATATTCGCCAGCGAAGGCTTCTTACTTTAATCTAATCAAGTATATACGTTCATTAATAGAGAGAGATAGAGCATACACAGGAAATTGGAAGACGCAATAACGGGTCACGCGCAGCTCATCATGCCAAATGCCAATGGAATTTGTGTTATAATTATTTTCAATCGACACGCGAGACACAATTTGTGTGCCCCATAAAATAGTTATGAGTCTGGGTGTACTTTAATATTTCTTGTTTGCGACGCGTAAATAATATATTTCCTAACGTGGGAATCCTTTATCTAGAGCTAAGGTAAAACCAAACTAAAAATATCGTTTATATGAATAATAGAACTATGTATGTTATGAATGTTCTTATAAGTACCCCAAAATATTTTCGTTTAACGAAACGCAGTCGTGCGTTAAAAATTTATTTCCAATCGGCCGGGATTTGAAATCGATGTACTGGCTGGTACCGTTTATTTTTACAATTGTGTATGTATTGCTTGTATCTGAGCGTTAATTAACTGATAAGGGTGGCTCATTCACACAACAGCGAGTGGAGCGGATCGGACAAAAACGTCATTCCGGTGCATTCCGCCTCCCATTGTTTTGATATGGATCTGCATGGATTAATGGTTGCATGCGCTGCTATCTAATTACGTACAGTCAGAAGTAGCATTCGAAACGGACGATACAAAACTAACCATTCAACACAATAAATTTGCATCTGTTGAATGACTGCACAGATGACGACGGTTCTAGTGGTGGCAAACTCAATGCAAAAAGCGTGTGCCGTGCTATGGCTTCGGCGGCGAGTGTTAAAAATCTGCGTGATCCATAATAGTAGCTAGTGGTGTTAAAATATATTAATTGATAATTAAAAATATAATTTAAAACCATTTCGTTTTGACATTGTAATACATGATCGCCTTTTTTATTCTGAATGTATGACACTAGATGATGTTACTATGTAAAAAATTGAGCATTTGGTTCATTCTTCCGTTTATAACATGTAACGATCATACACTTGTACTATCCATATATTTTGTGATGGATTTAGCCTGTTTATACTAACTTAAACTACTAATTCAGATTAAGATTAACTGTAACACAATTTTTAGTCGTCGTCGCCTATATATGTTTATGAGGCCTGTGACCAGTGAAAGATTCCGTTCAACATTATTTGGAAGCTTCTAGAAGTTTAATTTTCACCAAGCCGAATAATATCAAATCACAGTGTACCGTGCTAAAATTTCGAAGTTCTTAAGTTTTCTGGCTATACTGTCACGAAATTGTAAATACTCTCTGATTATAGACACCGTGCATGTTGCAATAAGTTAATGAAATAGAAAGATAGATCGTTCGCGTATCGGTTTCAGGCTTATTGTGACGACCGTACTTTCGAATGTGGGGCGTCTGATTGCATTCCCGTAGCGTTTGTGTAACAGTTCATCTCATGACGAACGGCAATGACTTAGGCGGGTAATTAGTCATGATTAGAGCCCGGCACTACAACAGCGCCTTCTGCACGCCACGCCGCGGTTTCTACCGGCGGTAACGGAAGAGAATTATAATAATTGATCATGCCCGTTAGTGAATTGTCGCTCGCCTCTCTATTTGTCTCGCCGAGCGGAACACCGATCCAGATAAGCGTCGCCTCGTCGCCGCGACGCGCTCCCCCGTGCAGACCTCCGCGTGGAATGGAAACCCCACGCCGAGGAAACGCATACACCGAATCCCATTCAAATCCACGGTCATGAATGAACCGAATGGGAAAGGGACGCCGCCATAGCGGGGCAACGCGCGCGAGCGGGACGCATTCCCAATAGTACGCGAAACGGAAATAGAGGCCGAGATAATTCCGTCTAGCCGGAGGGATTCCCTCGTGTCACTTGTGTGCGTGCCCGTTTTTACAATTGCACCACGGGTGTCTGGGTGCGTTTCGGTGCTCCGACGGAGGGCGCTCCGAGCTCCTTGACTCACTCCGGCCCCAGCTACTTGTTGATCAATCGTAATAAATTGCCGCGATGTTCCCATTGTGGAGCGGTTTGTCGCTTTGCTGCCTCCGAGGAAATTGCGTTTCCTTAAGCCGCTCGAGTTTATTTGTCGCCCGCCATTCGAATGTTTCGAGTCCCGTCCGATGTGATTGTTTCAACGTTCCGTGTCGAGGTCGCATTGCGATTGAATGGTTCCCCCACGACTGTTTTGCCTCCGTTGAAGATAATATTAAATTGTGTTAATAACTATATTTATATTGGTCACTAAACAATTTTATTTGTCAGTGTAGATTTTTTCTTTATTGCAATTAGTAAATACTTCAACTGAGTTTAACTCACAATTAGAAGAATAAGAAAATGATTAGAGAGTCATTAAACCACATGAAATCCATCATTGAACAACATTGAATAGATATTCCATAAAGCCGAACTTTTTATGATTAACACAGCTGACATCAGCGTAACAATAAAACATGATGAATGCGTGAAACATGAAGGATGGCTATACCTAATACTTGTTTTAAATAGACTGGAAACATAAACAAGCTGTAATCGTACATAAAACTGACATAAATCAGGTTAAAAATAGATAAATATTATTGACATTAATCTACTGATGCTTACCTGGAATATAACTGATTAATTATTCATAACAAAATTTCGTTACTATTAATACCAAAGTCTCATTTGCCGTCGGAACACATAATGAGTTCGAAGATCCGCTTTAGTCTATACTGAACAGTAAAATTATTATGAAATGAAATATTTACAGACATTAAGTTTTTTTACAATTTTAAAATATTTTACCCGCGTTTTCTTTTGCATTGAGATCAAATTTATTCAGATAACATTAAGAAATGTACTAAGCCATAACAAAGCACTCCAAGAACATATTTATTTCAGTTTTTATAAGATTTCAAGCACAAGAATATCGTATCTAATATAGTAGAAGATACAATTTATAAAATTAAACTTGAAACAGCACTTTTCTGCTGCTAAAAATAACTCTATCCGAAATATAACCTTAACACAGGCAAATATCACAGATTTAACTATAAACTTTTAAGTATTTTATACTGTTTCATATTATACCAATTTTATATAACACTCATTTATAAATAACGGGCTGAGAATTAAAAAAAAAATTAAACTCGATAAAATCAATAAAACTACTTCTTTTAACAATGTGTATCAGATATAAAAAAAGAAATGATTACGTCATCTAAAATACTCGAGATGCATATTATAATTAAAAGTCACAAACTATTACATATATAAAGCCGATTTCTAAATGATCAAATTGCATTTTCGTAATTTGTAATTGAGATTAAAGAATTTCTAACAATAATTCTGCATTATTTCTGTTCAGTTATAAATTACTTCGAATGCAGTTACCTAACACATCATATAAACAGTTCAATGTATGCAACTGCCTGAAAACATCAAAATTTAGGTTCTAACTCTTTATCACCTACACGATAGGAAAAAAGTCTCAGATGCCTGTAAACGCTTGTAAGAAGACGATTCCAAATATAGCTCAATAAAACGTAATGGATTGCAATGACTGCAACAAAATCGCAAACGCGAAAGTTTTTGTACCCACGTGCTAGTACTCGCCATCATGGCTGGAAGCTTCCTAACGAAATTAAAGGGACTAATAGCCTAAGCATTTCATTAAGTAGTGATGAATAACAGGATGTTAATAAAATTTCAAATATAGAACAGCTCAATTATTTACCACGTAAAGTGCAAAATCTCTAAAATCTTTGTATACATTCATCTCGTTACCTTGTACCTTCCGCACATGAGACGCACCAGTCGTACGCTCCGATAGATCTAACCGCTAACTTGATACACCGTGCGGTTTCGTCTAATAGGTATAATGATTATCTGCGCGTTTAATTTTTATGTAATTAAAATCCTAACGATCGGCTCTTTAGTTAAACGTTGAACGCCCAGTTACTGCTTGTTGAACTGTGGACGTAGCACCCGAACAGCAGATTCGATTCTGCCTGAAACAGTTTGTGATATTTATTAAGGAACTTAAGCGTGTCTCCCTACTGGGCAAAGGTACAGAGAGGATCTATTGAGTGATTTCATAAAACTCCGCTAACCAATAAAGGCTATCACTATTCAACATTAACAGATGCTTGAAACATATCACGAAATTAAACGGACATGTCTGAATGATATATAAAATGATCTCTAAATATTCCCTCAAAAATAAATCCCTTATTACTTTACAGAAACAAAGTTATAAGAAACTGTTTTAATTTAAAACGCCGGAATCCATTCAACAAATCAAATCAATTGCGAAATCGTAATACAATTTAGGTTACCGCATATTTTCCTTCTGCCTACCCTATATAAGGTAAGGTTCAAGAATGATAGAGCTTTCATTAAGCTATCTTTTAACTCATCACTAAGTGAATTGGGCATCCGATTTCTCAAACACGCTGCAATCCAATTCTCATCCGAGACAATTTGCAATATAAGTAACAGCCTATACGTAGGCCTCAGTAGGGTAACGGCCTACCTAGACTGGGGTACTGACGCAGTACATTTTATTTCCCTAATTAAAGAGCAAATACAATCTATAGTGATAGTATTCGCCCGCGACTCACTAATGCGGCAACAACGCCGACACCGTCATATACGTGTCGCAGGGCACTTGCATCTCAGACGTCTGCGCCGTCTTGGCTTAATATTTCAATGACTACCACCGCTTGGACCCAAGCCAGTCATACGAACGTTCGGGCGCATCATTCATGGCTAACACCGCAAGTGCCATTAAGGCGCTCGGCCTAATTGATTCCGACACGGACAAACGCGGGAGCACCTAACGTACCGCCAACGTAACACACAATTCCCCGATCTGCATCTAATCCGTTCAGTATAAATCAGCAGAAGTAAAGACACGTCCTCCCGAATATCAACATGTTTTAAACTCAAAGGCACCGCCTCAGCACGAATGACAACGCAACGATGCGCTCACGGGATCCTTCCGTTAGGTCTTTTAAAAAATCCGAAACGTTACAAACGCGGCAGAAAAAAATGCACCGTCGCCCAACGTCGCGACTGCCGGCGCTACAAAGGTGATGGGGCAGTTATTTCAGTGCTCTGTTTATTTACGAAATATCACTCCGTTTGAAGGCGGACCATCAAAATGCGCCGTGAAGCTGTTAAATTCCATAAAAAGTCGTGTTGATGACCCGCGTGATTGTAAGCCGCTCTTTGTCAGTAGCAGAGACAATAGACGAAACTCCGCGCCGGCCGTATTGATTTTAAACGTCTGTTAATCTGAGGCGCTCTGAGCGTTCGCGAAAGCTAAAATTCGCTGCTATAACACGCAAATTCAGGTACACATTGCAATTGCCTTGACCTGTTTGAATAACGCATTGCAAGTCTCCGGGTACAACAGTAAGTATTGCCTTACGCGATGTACTAAACGAGTACATCAAAATCAATACCGATAACTCGACGGACAAAAGAGTTGTGGACGCAGAGTCACAAGTTGCTCGGTTCCCGGCTCGGTAACCCGATACCGCCCCGCTTATCTGCCGTCGAGCAATTATTGAAGCGTGAAAAGGAACGTCCACCTATTATTGTATACGTTTTGTAATGCGGGCGATGCGTTCTTGAAAATATCGCATTTCCTAACCCCGAGCCCGTAGCGCGAAGTTACTCGAATAGTTCCGTTCGACCCCCCATTCAAACGTGTACTATTTAAATCGTCGTATTCAACGATTACATTCCTACTATTATGCCGTACGATTATTAAATCGAGAGAATTGAATAACAACACAAATTTAAACTGTATAAATAATTCTAAGTACATTTATTTCGTCTAGTTACATCCTTTGGCGTCCTTCTAGTTAATAGCCGATGTTTCAAATTTATTCAAAATTGGGAAAAAACTGTCGCGAGTGACCTTTGAAACCGCAAACATGTTTCCGAATTGAAAATCAATTAAATTAATATAGGACAATGCGTTCCTATCAAATTGTAATATTACTATGTACTTAACAAAAGTTAACAGGTAAGCCGGCTCGAGTCTCCGTGGGGGCGATATGTAGGTAAGCAACAAAAACATGTTATTTGTATAATCTGTATTCTCGTCGAAATCATTCGAATCGTAATAGTGGAAACCTGTCAATACCGATTATACTGACGCCCCGTGTGCGGGTGAACGTTCTTTTTTTAAAATACTTCTTTTGTAACACTATCTCTTAAGACATCAATACATGTTACAAGTTTTAAACTTGGCAACAATAATAAAACGTCATGTACCAAATTATGGTTAATATTCTTAGACTAAAAGAGCGTTTACGAAATTCACATCATTCTGTTTTCCATTTCTAATATAAATAACGTTAAAAGTCTTTAAATTTTTAATAAACATACTAATTCCGCTGTTCCTCCTTGAAGTTTAGTGCTTAATGTAAGAAGATATACACGCAAAAGCTCAAAAAACATAATTAGACATAGTTACCGACGCTAATTACGTAGTTTAACGTGATACGGACCGACAAACAGACGCGGGAGTAAGTAAACGGCGCGTGAACGAGATAAATCAGCTAATAACGTCACGGTAAATCAGCAGTTCTCAATTAATAAATCAAAAATGTGTTAACAAGGCAAATAACGACATTCCTCTGAATGAAATAATTTTGTGCTGAAATAAATTTTAAAACCAAATGGAATTCTCCTCACGCAATTTTAATCATTCGTAATGTTATTTTTTTAATTAATAAAGAAATCAGTGACAAATCACTTTTGTAAATATCGATTTTATTATATTTTCAATAATAATTTGCTAACATGAAACTGGTTTAAACTTAGATTATTATAAATCATAACTTCTTCATCATAAAATACAATTTGAATTATTTATGATATTATCACAAAATAATTTTGACAAATTTTAACAAACAACCTTTGCCCTAAAAGTACACTCCCGACTAATCTGAACTCTGCAAGCGGCGAAAAACATGATATCACCAGTTAAACGAACATTGGCGATGTGATTTCATAAAATCAAACATAAATGTGACTCACGAGAGTAGAGCGCGTCCCGCCCAAAACGCTGCCCCAAAAGCCACAGATTAAATAATTCTCGCAACAAAACGACAATGTGAACGGGAAAAATTAAAGTTTACGCGTCCCAAGCGCAACGTTGCGGCGGTCATTACATTTTTAAAATCGCATTGGGTGAAGAACCGTCCGATATAGGCCTACTCGGACGTACGACGGGCACCCGCGACAAAACAAAGATTTTTTAATCTAACTTTGGCTTTTGTAAAAATTACTATTTAAATATTCAAAACCTCGGCCGCTAATTAACTGAGATTTAACCCTTCCGTCGCCGTGGCCCGGCTGAATATTTAAACCGCTGGAAATATTTGGCGCGTATTAAAACGTGAAAAATTAATGCCGTTGCGTTGGAGCAGCCGCGCGCAATGCTTTGCCCGAATGTCCTTTCCGCGTAAGGGATTCATAATCCCTTACCTTGTTACAAGTAAACATTTTAAACTGAAACATATCTGCATTTTTCATATATAAAAGAAAAAAAAAACTATCTACTGAGACTCATGTCTTAGTAACTCATTTAGGATTATTTTAAATAACTATTTTTGTTTAATTAGCAAATAAAAGATGTCCGGGTAAATTTTTGTTGAACATAAAACAGTAATCTAGGGCATAATTTAAAAAAACAAAACTTAAGTTACAACAACGCAAATAAAAAAGAGGCAAATCAAAAATATTTCACACACTTCAAGGCGTTTGGGAATAAGAAAACAAAAATTGGTAGGTATTAAAAAGGGACTCACATTTAAAATTGGTAATCGGTGGTGTTAGCTCGTTGGAAACGTACCTTGCGGTGGTGCAGTCCCGGTAGAGCACGTCGAAGTCCTTGCAGGAGAGCAGCTTGCAGCGGTTCACGCCGGGCTGGATGGCGCCGAGGCCACGCAGGATCCGCACCTGCTCCACGTTGCACACGAGCGGCACTATGTCCAGACGCTTGAGCTTGGTATAGACCGTGTGCAGGCCGCCCACGAGGTGCTTCAGGAACAGCTCGAACGCCTGCGGCAGGCAGAGCATCGTGTCGCCCTGTATGATGAAGGCGGCCACCTTCTGGCCGCGGTAGTCGACCAGCTTGCACTCGTTGGCGGAGGGGTCCGACGTGGAGATAGGCGGCGGGCTGCCGTAGCGCGGCGGGCCGTGGTGGTGCGCGGCCGCCATCAGCTCTAGCGGTGAGTGGTGCATCATCTGCAGGGAGCCGAGCAGGCCCAGCCCCGGTGGCGGCAGCGGCAGCCGCGGCGCCAGCAACGCGGGCGGGCTCATGGCGCGCGCCGGCGACGCCGCCTTCACACGCGGCGAACCGCCCGACGAGCCGCTCACCTCGCTCGCGGTCGACGCTGAGTCCACGGCGGACTCCATTCTCCGTGGCTCACTATGCACACATCACACGCCCGTCGCGCGCCGCGTTCCGCGCAACAATAAATAAAAAGCGGCGGCGAGGCGAAGGCGCGGCGAGGTGCGCGCGCCCGCCCCGACGCCGGGCGCCCATTGGCCCGCCGCCGCTCCAGCGCCGACGCCATTGGGCGCCGACGCCGACGCGGGGCGACCGCCCTTTTTCCCGCTCCGCCGCGAGCGCGCGAAGAAACGCTCCTGTTTCTTTTGGGCGGCGAGCGGTGCGGCCGCGCGCCGGCGGTGCCGCTGTCACCGACAATCGATACGGGCCGGGGTGCCGATGCCGACGCGCGCCTGACCTCCGCCCGATGATCGTACCGCTCTTACCATTCGAATATATCGATATCGACACGCGGACCGCACTAGCCCAATGAGCCACGTCCCGACACATCGGGCTCATCACGGGCGCATCTATCTGTTAAAATTAATTTGGCGTTATTGCGCGATTGTAGAGTCGGTTATCGCCACGGCTTGCGGTAGAGTCGAGCGTTGAACGAGGTTTATCGATTAATTCTTATTGAAAGCCATGGGTGCAATTTATATGTTTACTCGGGGTTATTTCTTATTAATAATATACACAGTTGACCGCTGACGACACGGTCCTCATAATATAATGAACATTTCCACATATTTCTATCCATATCTGTCCCTCAATTCTAATCTTCTTTGCATAAAGCTCTATTTAAAGCTTTACCGAAGTTGTCGCTCTTACAATTCCAGCCATACTTATGCATCGTTTTTAATTACAAAATTAACCTTTTCATTTGATGCCACCGGAAGGCTTAATGGGTGAAGTATTTTATCCATATGATTTAAGTGCTAAATAGTTAAATGCTGAACAAGTATTATCGAAGATTTTCATCATATTAAAACTAAAATATAAAATTAGATGACTTAAACATTATATGGCATTACAATATTACACAATTCAATATATTTTCTACAAAATACTTCTAACAGATCTATGTACAATTGATACAATTATTTGTAAGATAATAATAAGAAGCAACGACAACGTATAGGTTAGAAAGATTTCAGACAAGACTGGTAATATTAGAAATAATACCTCTTGGCCCCATCGCGACCTGCAAGACATAGAAGTGCAGGCAAGATCTTATTTGTTCATTAGTAATTACCTACTGGGAATTATATTTCACTGTGAAGGTATTAAAATAAACTTAGTAGCGTTAGACGGAGAGGTTTGCGAGGAAATGTAATTTGTACCTCGCTCTCCTCACTTTTTTTATCATAACGAAGTGTTCAATTATATCCAGTAGTTTTTAAATATATAGGTATGCATACTAATGATTAAAAATCTTTTATTATTGACTCAACTATTAAAGCAATGAAAGTCAATAAAAGGTGGATTGACGTGATTTATTAGTGTTTTTTGTTTAATACCTCACACGTGTATAATGGTGCTTTACGTAGCCACTACATACGTAGTTCCCAGTTAAAATCAGCAATATTATTAAGACTTCGCGGGAATTCGTAATCTTCTCTATACCTAATTACTACTGTAAGTAGGTACACAAATATAGTATATGTAATGTAATAATACACTTCGTTGTACTTAAATGAAGAATATTAGTTTAACGGTTCAAATAAAATATCGATTTTGTAATTGCATCACATGGAGCATATTTATTGTTAAATAATTTTTTCGTAAATTTTGGACGCTTTGATATAAAATGATCCGAGGCCAAATTCGGAAACATCAGATCGCCCAGGAATCATAACGGTAAATTCACTATCTACTACACACAACCAGCGACAGTCAGACAGCGTTGTCTCAGTGGCTTTGGATTTACTATATTATTAGGTCATGCGTTCGAATTCTTCGGGTTTTTATGTGGAAAAATCACTATCTCATATTCATGTCGGGTATGTAGTGAATAGCTTACATTCTGTCAGGGCTCCTAGTCTCTAAAACTTATAAATACGCTCAGTTAAATATGGACAGAACATTCTGTCTCTGTATATTCCATAAGCGTCAAATGAGAGGCTATTATTACTGTTTCAAATTTGATCCTGGGTAGGTCAGTGCCTGAGCTTCATTTTAAATTACCGACAACCCTAGATCCAATCTTGGCCGGTACCAATGAAATAGTTGTCTAATTTTAACTTCTGACTTACTGGAAACATCGTGAAAAATAATTAAATAATATAATTTGAAGGTGTGTGAACCTGCTAATCAACAGTAGTGTCACGTGGCGGACAAAGCTCTTACAGCTTATATATAGAGTAATTTTCCTAGCACTAAAATCTATCTGAGTAGTCTTATTAGGCATAACTATTTTTTCATTTAAGCGATTTGTGTCTGTTATTTTTTATTTACTTTCCGTTATTCCACTACAATGAGGAAAATATTGTTTAGTTTCAGTTACATCGCAATATAATTAGATTTTTACACAGGCAATACTAAATCATATAAGAGTTGATAGACGTTTTAACGGCTATTTTATGTTCTGAAATTAAACGTAGCAGTGACAAATGGATTAACCCCTAAAAGTTACGTTTATTTACTCACAAAGGTATTCGAATATCAACATTTGTTTCTACAGTTTAAAAATTAGATAGAACCAACAAAAAACGTTTCAGTAAAACTACGTCAGATGTAAGACGCATGGTCGCAAATAGGCTCATTTGAACAATTATTTAAAACTTCACTGTTTTTACGACATTAAAAGGAGCGTGTTCGATAAAAATAAGGAGATAATTTACATATGATTGATTATAATCTTTATTTAAATGTAAAATAAACTGGAATTGAAAATAATTCATTTAAATTTATTAATTTTAATGAATTATTTTAATTTTTAATATTACCGTTTATATGTTTTATTTCCATTGGCATTCATGACAGTGAGGAATTATGATTCAGTCCTTTGAAAGAGAGCTGAAGGGGGCCATTAATAATTTATTTACATTTTTCCACGCATTCATTATATGAATCAACAAAACGACCTCTTAACAAACGACATTGGCATCCTCATTCTTTAAAGAAAAGGCACATTGCCTAGGTTATCTATTTATTATTTTAATTTTTTATTATCAATGTTTTTACTTTCACTGTGTTTCGTTAAGTACTTTTATGATTCTTGGTTATTTTATCTAAATTACAATAAGAATATCAGAACGTGCGTTTACCGTATAGTATTTTATGATATTATATATACTTATTGATACGCGATTTATTTTATCCTACATATTTTAAGATGTAAAAACCAGTAAAATACATTGTGTATTAAAACTTAAATGCTGCTGTTATTTCATGTAAACATGTATAAAAAATTTGTAAATTCCTGCAATAGTTAAATCACACTGCGTATGCCGTGTAAGTCCCCTTTTTTTAATGTTTTACAATTAAATAACGATGTTTGTCTGAAAAAAATTTAATAGCAACCAATTCAATAAATATCCATAGTATTTAAGTAAATAATCGTTAAAATCATAAAATCTGCCATCTTCGGGACAACGTTAAGGGTGGTACACACGCTAGCACAAAGGAACACTTTTGCTTACATCCCCATATCTGATGGACGCTCTCCGATGTGGCTGGAACAAGTTTCGAGCGCAAGTTAAAATTTGCCCACACGCTAGCGTCCATACTTTAGGTCGCAACAACTCAAACGTAAGTGGTTACATAAATTACTATAAAAGCAGAAAAGTTTTTTTATAACATACTAGCGGCCCCGGCTTCGCACGGGTGCTATAATACATACATACGTATAAACCTTGCTCTTGACTCTATCTAGTTAAAAAACCGCATCAAGATCCATTGCATAGTAGTAAAGATCTAAGAATACATAGGAATAGACAGACAGCGGGACGACTTTGTTTTATACAATGTAGTGACGTATATTTAGCAAGCTTGATGAGTTGGGTGTGCTTTACATACACGCTTTCCTGAAAGAGTAGCCAAAGGAACAAGCCCTGATAGTAAGCGTAGTGAATTTGCCAGTCTTAAAGAGGGCGGACGTCCGAAACGGAATACTATTGCTAAAATCCAGTCTTCTTCTGGATAGGACTCTACACCTCATATTTTACAAAAACGCGAACGCTGTAACCAAATGTTTCATTTAAAAACGCTTAAGAATGCAGAACCTATTACTAGATTTGTTTTAATTTGTTTAAGTTGATTGATTTAATAATCCAATATAAAAAAATTATATATTTTAAGGACGATTTGCGAATATTAATGTTCAAATTTAGTATTAAATAATTTATTTATTAGATGAACACCGAAGTCCTATTTTCTTTATAATTAGTCTATAAGTTGCCTTTGTGAGTGACATTTGTATAATTTCGTTAGACAATAAAAAACTGCTCACCTTATCATAATTTTGTTCGATTAAGGCATTTGAATTTGTTTTCTTGATTATGTTTTTTCCGTTTTATGAACCTATACGTGCCAATATCACTGACATGTTTGCCCAAAGGACGGCGGCAAGGCTTATCAGTAGTAACATTTCAGACAAAATTGGTGAAATAAAAATCTGCCATCCCCTATCCCATTATTTTCATCATTATAGGCTATCAGAGCCGTTTTATAACTTATAATATGTTCCACAGCACCACACTTTAACAACCAGCGCCATCTAGTCAAAAATAATAGAACTAAAGTTTTTATTAACTTTCTAGTAGCGTAATTTAAATGTATGACGCATTTTTATAACTTGACATACCATAAAATAACAGAGTTATTGTGAAATAATAAAAGAGTATAGCCAAAGTGCTTACAAAAGAACCAAATAAAATATGAACGCGAAGTACCACGAGCCGAGCGAAAAACATTGGAGTATTAAAGGTATTTTTATAGTCAAACAAAAGGACTCCACACTATAACTCATTACAGAACAAAGGGGGTGAGTAGTGTGAAAACAATAGCGCCCCCTATAGGAAATGATAACTTCACAAAGGCAATGAAGCCCACTCATATGGTCTCCTCAGTTACACAACAACCTTTTCTCAACTCATTTGAAATCCTACAATTTAAAAACAATTTTTATTGCATAAGGTACAGGGTAGATTTTAAAGGTTACAATAGCAGTCAGAAACTGTAACAATGATTTTCTTTATGAGCTTCCGAGTTCGCAGTTTACGCACCGCACTTAAAAGTGTTTGTGTTTAAGATGGCGACAATCTTAAACAATCACGAAATATGAAATAAACTTACTCGAGATATCGGCACTCTAAATTCAAAATACGCTATTGAATGAGGAGTCTATTGTGCAACAAGAAGTAAAAATCAGTCAGAATTTTAAACAAAGGGCTACAAGTTTTCGAAAAACCCTGGCATATTGATTAATACAACAGCAAATTTATTCTAGAAAGGGTATAGATTAAAAAATATTTCGTAGACATCGCGATAGTTTAATTCGGGATATC